GCGCCTGAAGTGCTTTTTGAGCACACTGGGTTACTAGTAGCAGACATGGCCCTCTTTTCACACAACAGTGTTTTTCGCCTACGCGTTGTTACGGTAAGTTTGGTGCACACAATGGGCCGGACTCAATGTGGAGTGTTATTATCCCAGTTAGTCGTTTCTCCTGGTTAGCCCTTCAAATGCAGCTCATATTTCAAGTTAAACAGCACTCCAGAGGCGTTTTATTGTTGTTGGAAATGTTTGGCACATGCGAGAAATAGCTGCAGCTGATAACAGTTTGATAATACTGTGTCACTGTTGTATGGAGGAAACTGCAAGGTTTGGTTTTTGCTGGAGAAAATACGAGCTCCTTGCGAAATGAGAAATCACCAGTTGCTGGAAAATGTTTTGTTTTAATGCTGATTTTGGTGAAAAATCAGCTGCTATTGCGCAAATACGCACGAGCATACATGGAAATGTTGTGCGCATAAATCAAACCTTAATACACATAAGCAGAATATGAGCAAAATTAGGAATAATTATATTGAAATATAAAATAAATAACCTTTTATTGTAGCGATTCATGCCCAGTATTTAGTCCCAACATCAAATTTTAAAAAAATATTCACGAGTTACAATTATCCAAATGCAAGTGAGCCAAAAACGCATCCAAAATGATATGAAAATTAAGCATTTGCCTTTATCCTTGTTCACTATCCAGTCCGGTAATCCTTCAAAATATCCAATATGAATTCATGTATAATATAACGCTGCAGGTTAACAAAGCCATACAGCTGAAACCACATAAATCACGGCAAACGCCAGTGTGACGATAAGACAACAAATTAATGTGATTTACGATCCAAGAGTCAAAAAGAAAAGTTCCTCTCCTACTTCTTCTTCCCTCCGAGCCGGTTTTCATCGAAACGTGAAATCAGCTGAAAAGCAGCAGGGGCAGCAGCTCGAGCTCAATCTGTCGATAATATTTGAACGCGCTTCTTCAAAAATATATATATATTAGAAATAATGAATCTGCTTTTGAGGAGGTATGGCTGTGGACTCCATATCCGCACGCTCGCCGGCTGAGAGCGACATTAACAAGCATCAGCTCCTTGAGTGGAATAAATCATATATATTTCCTTGCATTATATTAACCCGTGGTTAAAGGTTGCTTTCTGCCGTGCGATTGCTTACCTGCGAATCAATTCATCATAAAGCAGCTTCCCTCTCAGTCTCAGCTCCTTTCCACGCAGTCTCTAGAATAAATCCTTCACCCTTTGTCTGTAGACAATGCTGTCCTAAACCTGATCTTGCTGTTTTTCAGACATTTCCATATACCAGTGGAGACAGTATTCCCGAAAGAATGGAAGGACTCGCATTCAACTACCAATAAAAAGCGCACAAGGTATCCTTATTCCAGAAAAAAAAAATCCCTGGCAATCAATCACCCATTGAAATATACAGGAATTCAGAAAAGGGATAGGCCTGTGCACATTTGGAGCTAACATTAGGGTTTTTTTGGGGTGTTTCGGAAGCTTTGTGGTGACAAATAAAGGCGCTGCCTTAAGATACAAGCATATTTGTTCACGTGATTGTTCTCTTCTACAACCGAGCCTTACCTCACCAATCCATTTTGATAAAGGGTGGCGTTTATTTCCTCATCTCAACTGTGTGAAAATGTTCCACTGCCTATTTCTTTTCATCTCCTCCTGAATTACAACCCGGCTGCACTTCAGTATTTAAACACGAGCATCATATTATGGGCTGTTGTTAAGGTATCAATAATAAAGATTTACACATTCTCCTCCTCTGTTAGAGCAGCTACAGCATCTACAGTGCAGTGTGTGTGCGTAGGTTGCCATTGTGAATTTCTCTGCTTTTTTAAAAGTCACAGCAGCTTTGTAATTTCCTGCATTTTGTGCATTTTCTTCTCACTTGTTTTTAAAAAAGAAACTGAGTTCAATTTCACAGCAAAGCGCGCAAACTGGGCCTTAAACGCACCACGGTTCTGTATTTTGAATAATAATGTAAAGCAATACTATTATACTTTCTATTTATGTCCTGTTTGGTCGCTCGGTAACTGCGATGATGTGCTTTCTTAAAAAAAAAAACATGATTTATGAAATAAAAGACATGTGGTTTTCTCTTCCAGCTGGGGCTGGATTGTATTCAAATAAACCACATTATCATCTTTTGTTTGTTGTGTCTGTCTTCACACACTGCCTCAAACAAAGAGTGGGAGAGACATGTCTTCTCCTGCATTGTTTTCAATACCAGAAAGAAAAAAGAGGAACAATGGCACCGTTTGATAACCAATAAATAAATATATTGGGAAAAAAAGACTAGGATGGATTGGAAGATTTGGAGCGAGCGTCGGCTGCTTCAGCGGTGGGTTATCTTTGCTGAGAAGAAGGAGGAGGATAAGAAGAAGAAGAAGAAGGGATGCAGGACTGGTAGCGTCGCAGCATATGTTCAGAGGGTAATAAAAGTGAAAGATTTACAGTTTTCGCCCGGCCCCCCAACAGCCTCGCACCCTTTCAGGAATTACTGAGAATGATTTACAAGGAGGCAGAACTGTCAGCCTGTGCCCAAACTTCCACGACTTCTTGGAAATCAGAATCAAATCATCCCCCACTCACACTGAAAACAGTAGAAATACACCTCTGTCCTCTCAAGCACAAAGCAAAAATAAACTATTATTTATCTTGTGCTGAAAACTATAAATCAAGATGCTCATACTTTGCAATTTATAATTTCAATACTGTTTCTCTTTTTTAAGAAAAAAAATATTGAGTGACTTTTATATTTGCAGTAAATTGGTAAAAATCTGAATTAAATTCTGAATAAAGACTCAGTGGGCCCTGTGGAGGGGCCACATTGAGCTGTGTCCGAAAGAGCATTTATTCAGAGCGAGCACCCATAAATATATGTCACTGCCCTTTAGTTTTTACCATTTATCCTATCAATTCCTCTCAAGACTCATGCGTAAACAGCAAGCTGCAAGAATTCTACCATTTCTTACATATCTGCTAAAAAAAAGAAGACATGCACACAGCGACTAACCACAGCATATACAACCCTGCTCAGAGCGCACACATCAAAGACAGCAATTTATCAAATATCACGACATTTGATATCGTCATTTCCCAGCTCGGGCAACATGAAAAATGCTGAAATATTTACCTACCCAAGCATCCATCGGTTCGGATGTGTTGCTAAAGTACGGGGCTACGCTTGCGCCGGGTATCGGATATTATTTTCTTGGGGGATCTCTTCAGTTTTCAAGTCTGATAGAGTCCTTGCGATTAATGACGACGCCGTGTTTCTAGGGGGACGTGCTGCATTAATTATTTAGACAATCACGTGGTCGAGAATAGAGAGCGGAGTGGTATAGTCTCTGGATTATATCTCTGAATGCAGACAGCGCACTTTAATATATCTTAGGGGGGTTGTCTGGCTCGGAGAGGCTTCTGCGAAAACAGCTGGAAATCAAATATGGCCGGATGGAGAGCAACGACGTTGTATTCCTGCACTGGGTGCAGTGTCATTGAAAATGGCACTGCCTTTGGCTCCCATTTATTGCTGTTCAGACATGTAGGTCAGTGTGGCTACACACTGTACGTTGTAGTAGGCTGCTCTGACCTGATAATTACTGGGGGGGGCTGTGATGGGATATGTTTAATTTCAATTCATGTTTTAATATCAGGCAGCAAGTTTGATATGAAATGTTTTTTAAATGCAAAATAAAAAATAGCATTCTCTCTGCATCTTAAAACTAGTGATGTATATGAGGTAGGTTATTTGTCCAATTGTGCCAATAACACCTCCCCTCCCCTCCCCCCACCCCCCTCCCCCCCCCCCCCCCCCCCCCCCCCCCCCCCCCCCCCCCCCCCTCCCTCTCCGGCTCATCCTCTCTTCAGCATCTATGTGCAGATCATTTATGGCAGGATGGTGGATTGGTAGCATCACTTTGTCTCAGCTTCTCTCTGAAATCCATATGACACACGCTCCTATTTTACGCATACACACACAAACATATAAGCGCCATGTGCGCGCCTCTAGGCCCCCGTGCGCCCCGGTGGGGATCAGACAGTGGTCACTGGGGATGAAAACACTGCTGAGTGACTGAAGATTGTCTTTCCACATGTCCGTTTATGGCCACTTGTGTTTGTATCAGGGCTGATTCTGCAGTGTGGTGGGTCGGAGGTCAGTGTAGCGATGGGTCGTATTCAATAAAGGCATAACTTGTGAAGCATGAGGGAGTTTAATATCAAATATAGAGTGGTTTATCATGTGTGTGTGCCTGTATTTTAAAAATATTTAGTGATAAATGTGGCGTAATGTGGGTTTGGAGCAGCACCACCGCCTCTGATAAACTTTGCATGTGTCAGTTTGAATCTACGAGGCCAGTAAACTTCATTTGTGTTTCTATTATATAATAAAGACTCATGTAACTAATAAATATTTTGCGATATTGACTCAATGCAAAGTCTTACAAGAGAGCAAAGACAGTTTTTATTGAATATAATCACCTTGAAAAGCTCCACTCAGAGCTTGTGAGTGTTTTTGCGCAATCATGCGCTTCTTTCGATAAGAGCCAACGAGGCTGAATTAAGGCTGGAAACTCATTCTTTATGGTATTTTTAAAGATATGCCACACTTATAGAAGACTAATAATATATTTATGATCGTAAATTCCATGCCTGACAGGAGAAGAGGGTGACTTTGCCCATGCAGCGCACATTTGGTGCATTTGTGGATATTTTGTGAAGGGGGCTGTGGGTCCATATGGCTCCACACGCTTGTTGAGAAATCTTTTCCCACCAAAAGTGATCCTTTTGAAAACGGCGCAAAAGGACTGATGCTAAATAACCCAACAAAATATGGGAATAGAATACAAATTTGAGCAGGAAGGATTTTTTTAAAATACGTCAGTGGGCCCGGAGAAATTTATTTCCTCCAAATCTAAAGTATTCTCCTCTGATTTTTTTCCCAACCTCGCGACAAATTGCTCTCTGCAGCCATTTAAATGCATAATCAGTAGAAATCTTTATTTTCCAATATACTTCTCGCATCTCAATACACAATACAAGGTAAAAAGCATGTACAAAAATAAAACCAAAAAGATTGCATATTGACATGAGACAAATGCACAAACCAGAAGCTTTTTGGGGGCTGAAAAAATACTGTTAAAACACGTGTAGAAACTATGGAGATTGACGCACTGACTCTTGCTTTGAATGCTTTGGTTTTTTAAGTGTGGACAAAAAAAGCCTCCAAACCAAAGCGAAGAGCGCCTGGGAGAGAAAATGCTGCTTGTCCGGCGGGTCAGGGGTGCTGGGGTCAGTCCTTGCGGCTGAAATGTGTCCCCTGGATGAACCTGCCACTGCTGCTTTTGTCGACCTTCGGTTGAAATACCTTTTCAATCGTCTCGTGGTGAAGACTTCACAGAGAAGACCTTCTTCGTACTGGGAGAGCTTCTGGGCTTTTTTTGTTTGTTGTCCGAGGACAATGACGGTATAAAACAAGAAATATCTGTCTTGAGACGTGACGTGAAAGCCCCCCCTCGGTTGTGTCAATGAAAAACTAGAAGATTCCCACATGAACTAAAGACTAAAACTTCTGCATAAAGCCATGCTAATGATCCACAAGAGTTCAAACATATTTTTTTTAGATTAATTAAAGTTTAACGAATTAATTAAAACTGTATGTGTGCTATACGAAAATTTACACTTTTTAAACAAATAAATAATGACGTAAAAAAATCATATCAAGAAAAATAAACAATTATACTCCTAAATATTCTGGATTTGATTATTTCCGATGAGAAACATCCAATATTCATTTTCGATGCCATGCAGGAACAAATGATCTTTCATATAAGATTTCCAAATGGCACGAGAGAGCCTCTGAAAATGTACACTGTTTACAAAGATGTCAGGAGAGATTTATAAGGGCACTCAGAATAGTATGCACACAGGAATGTCTTGCTTTTGGGAATAATATTTAGGCTAAGAAAATTTCAAAGCTTTATTGTACAAAATAAATTAAAACATACGAGTCACAAAGAAACCTGGAGCTGAGAGATTCACCGGGGTTTTTGCAACTTAACGAAAGTGTGTTTGGCGTGCTCTAAATGCAAATAATGGTTCCTTCAAGTATATTTATATATATATATATATATATATGTTGTGCGTTTAATGTGAGGTTTCAATAGCAGGAAAAACTGAAATATCCTTTGTGTGTGTGTGTGTGTAGAATTTGAACCAAGGGCTCTCCTGCTCTGAATAAAGACATTTCAATCTTTAAACCAGCGTGAATCCACGTGAGAAGAGCTGCAACACTTTTGTTTAAATCCATGAAATCAGCCGAGGTTGCTCATTAAATGTCCTCAGGTGGGTAAACGTCCAAAGGGAAAAAATAAAGGAAAGAAAAAGAAAAGTTTCGATGTTTTTGTCTCTTTGAGGAAATAAAACAAGGAAGAACTTTCAAACATCTGACTTATAAAGGCTGATTGATTTTCTGACTCAGTCTCGAGTCAACACTGCTGGGGTCTTTTTTGTTAAATAAAAAATAAAAGGCTAAAAACAACATCAGTCCATGCAGAAGTCAGATGCACCCTTTTGTCTTTTTTATGTACAGTTTATTTCTAAAAAAAAAAAAAAAAAGGTGCGTGACACCTTCCTCCTCTCTTATAATGACGTGATATCAGTCTGGTTATCCTTCTGCATGCTCTGCAGATGGCTGGAGGTTGGTGCAGATCTGCCCTTGGTGTTGGGGAGTTTGTGATCTTTCTTCCATTTCATCCGTCTGTTCTGAAACCAGATTTTGATCTGCCTTTCGGAGAGACAAAGAGTGTGGGCAATCTCAATCCGTCGCCGCCTGGTCAGATACCTGTTAAAATGAAACTCCTTTTCAAGCTCCAAAACCTGCTGCCGGGTGTAAGCTGTTCTGGACCGTTTGGGCTCAGATCCTGTGTAATCCGGGTTCACTATAGGAGAAAGAAAACAAACAAGGAGGGAGAGAAAAAAGTCATCAAATGTGGCCAATGCAGCATGCAGGAAAAAACAATACAACAAGAGGCGTCTCTCTCCACACACCCGGGGCGCTCAAACTTTAAGAACAAGCTTCAAGGAAGCGAGAGCAGGAAATAATGAGTGGGTTTTAAATGAATTTAAGCAGATTTGCAGCAGATTTAAGCACCATTATAACCGGTCAATATGTGTTTTCAGGAGCTTTCAGGCGCTCACCTAGCGGCCTATTTCCTGAGCTATAAAAATTTATGACTTGTGTAATTGGCGAGGCCTTTCAAAGACTCCCATAAATATTACACTGAATGATTTCTAAAGTACAGGTCTCAGTTGGTCCATAAGAGAAGAAGAGGAAGAAGAAGAAGTGGAAATCTTACCAGTAGTTACGTGGACTTTCTTCATCCAGGGGTAAACTACTGCAGGCTGCTTGGACTGTATCCCATTTTGGCTCTTTGTGTTTTGCTGCTGTCCACAAGTCCGGGGTCCGGCCACTTGGACCGGGGGCCCCTGCTCAGTCTGTGCGCTAAAAGGACTCGAGTGGCTGGATCTCTCGTGCACATGACCCCGTGGCTGCACTGTGGAGTCCTGCACAGTGTTGCAGCTGAAGGGCTGCTCCGTGTAGTTTGGCCGTGGGTAGATCCCTGGATGCTGAAAGTCTGTGTCCTGCGATGGACTGTAGTAGTCCGAGCCCTGCTCAGGTATATAGTTATTTTGTGAATATTCCTCGCAGGGAGGAAATTTGGGATCCACATACTTAGAGTTCACCATATACGAACTCATGGCCATTAATTTCTGAAGGTAGAAAATACTAATTTTTCTCGAGTTGTCTTTTTTTCCTCCCTCCATAAAGCCCTCCTACTTGGTGTCAACTGAATAAAGTTAGCGAACCATGTGACCAGATCGGCCAATAGAGGTGATGCTGGTCCATAAACGGGTAAACATACAACTAAAAGCAATTTTATCTAACTTAAGATACACCAAAATTACACCCCGGTGGCGGAAAAACAAATATTGCAATGAAACATCTGCGTGCGCATTTTGGATAATAAAAAAGCATGCTGGGAAAATAAGAAAAACACACATAATTCAGAATGTACCCCAATATTTAACTTTAAAATCATATATTTAAAAAGAAACATGAAACCCTGGCTGCATTTAGAGTCGATTTATGCACGCAGATATACAAATATATCAGTTTCTAAGCTCTAACGTGGAGGCACGGTGTTCAACAGAGAAACCAACAAAAGATACAAAAAGCCCCATGGCATAAAAGCAGCGAATAATGACTGAGGACAATTGATGGACACTGTCTTTGTCAAGAAGGGGTCATCCAAAAGTTACACGAATCTCATCACTTCATCTGCTCCCATCCCTTTGAAAAAACTGTCTCTGAAGCCTATTGGCCAGCAGCAGCAGCCTCTGGGAATCAATAATGTAGAGACACAAGCGACCCACAGGAGGAAGAGGCTGCAGCTGGAGCGTGCACTGGCTTTCTTTTACTTAATCCATTTTGGTGTTTAATTCCAACATGACCCTAGATATTAATAATCCCTAATTTTCCTGTGCAACATTTTGCGTCAGATTTCCTTTACAGCATATAGAGTTACAACACGCCCTGAGCGCCTCTTTGTGAGGTATGTGCTGTTGTCAGATCTCATCCATAAGCCAACACTGTCACTGTAGCATCTGACAGCACGTCATGCACCAGACTCATGATCATAACAATAATAATAATAATAATAATAATAAAGATGGCGGATAAGTCGAAGTTTTTTCATCGACCATATACTCCCCTAGAATCGAATCTGTGATTGTGGTTTTATGACACAAATTCGGTTCTACAGGGTATATATAGACGACGGCAAGCCCACTTTTAGCAAGCATAACCACAGCACTTTATTTGCAGGGCACTTCCAAGCCAAACAAAACACACACTGTGGCTCACAGAAACAAAGTTACACGAGGAAATAAGAGGCAAGGATCACAACCAGATGGAGTTAAACACACTCTGCAGAAGTCATATTACAGGCTTTGATCATATCAGAATGTCTCACTGTATTCAATCTCAACTTTTACGCATTTTTCTCCCTTTGAAGCAGCTTTTCCTCCAGATTTTATAATTTCCCTTTAACGCTTTTCTTTTGTACAAGCATCTCATTGAGTTTAGGTCAAAAGTCAAGTCTGCAAAAATGAAACTGTAGGCCTGCAGGCGGCTCCTGCGCAGAGATATTCCTGTCAGTTTAGCCAGTAAATGACAAGCACAAGCCACTGAAGGAAAATACCAGTATGTCAGGTCAACCCAGGTTTCTGCGCAGTGTGTCCTCTTCCCCAACATCACACTCCCAAGTTCAGTATTAGAACAAACAAACCTTCTTCAAACACATAAATAACTTCTCACTTTTCCAAGCTGCCAGCTTGTAATCACAGATAAGCATTGGTCAAATACAGAGATAACAGTTAGATCCTCGCTGCCTAATAAAGGGGAGCTTATCAGCACAAAAGATGAGGCGAGAGGCCACCGAGGTCAAACTAAATCATTTACAAACTTATCAAAAAGTTCAATTATTTTCGCTGCTGGTGACAGCTCAAAGGGTGCAAAAGTTTACCAATTCCCCGTCAGCCATTAACTAAAGCACCATGGCGGCTACTGCACGTCCCTCTGAGACATCCTTACGCATGAATTAAAGCTGAGGATGATCCAAAAATGGCCAAGAGAGGCTAAATATTTTTTAAAAATAAATATATTAATGCAGTAATTGAATCTAAATATGTTCCCTGACTATAGAGCCCATAGCAGGAGCAGCCTTGAATTCTTATGGTGCTGATTTCAACAAATTAAATTAAAATTAAATTTGTTTTGAGGCACATGTGGCCAAATGTGACACAGGGGTCACATCATGGCTCTGGAAAATCTTGCATAAAGATTGTGGCACACATTCAGCCCATGTTTTCTTCTTTAATAATAATAAAAAAGGCACATGGGGACATTTTTGTCTAACTGATATTTACCGGAGTTTGCATTTTATTGTAACGTCTTGACTTGAGTTACATTTTCAGCTTGATTCATTCATTTGGACACGTTGAGAGAATACAGGCCTTTAAAGGGTGAAATTAAAACAGAGAGCAGCTAAATGATTATTTTACATGTCTTTATACGAAATAAAATCTCACCATGACGCACATCTAAGCTTTAATCTCCACTCTGCAAATTTACACTCAAATTTTAACCAGAACATGTAATATTCGTTTCAACTGCAGCTTAAAAAGAAATTATAGAGTCTGCAAAAATTCGTTGTTGCACTTCACATCTCAGTATTAGTTACATAGACAGCCTGACCTGTCTTTCACCTTCCTCTGATGGACCTTCAGACGGGTCAAAGCCGAGAATCACAACAAAAGAATGATAAAGTCAGCGTTTCCTGACAGCTTGTGTTAAACCAAAGGCTAACTAGTCCAGCTTGCGCCTTTTTTCATTTTAAATACGAGGTGTTTGACTATAAAAAAGCTCCACATGGAGCGTTTGGGAGCAACAGAAAACACGAGGCCTATTTAATCTAATAATCGGGCGAAGGAATGGCGCGTTTTTTCGGTGCGTGATAATACAAAATAAAGGTTAAATTCCCGTTCAGCGTTGTGTTGAATATTATTAAACATTATTACAATGGATTTCTAAAAGTGGAAGAGGAAATTAATAATTTAAAGGCCTGCAGCAGGAATGGCCTAAAGTGAAAAAAGCTGCAGACTTAATGTGAGAAAACCTTTGAATTATTTTTTTGTTGTTGTTATCTCAATGCTTGTTTTAGCTGTTTATTAACTTTAATGTGGTTAAAGCAGCCAAGCTCATTTTCTCTTGTGAATTATGAAAATTGCAACATAATGACGGCACATATTATTTTGATGAGGCCTTTAATAATATTTCACCTAAATCGTCAGGAGACTTAAAAACAAAACAGACAACAGGTTGATTCTCCGCCTCCAAGCAAACACCAAACCCCAATGCTATCAAATAACTCCATCATGCAGCACTGAATCAGCCCAACAACATGAAGAACACCATACGAAAAAGCATCGATTGAGTCTTAAGAGGTTTAAAACCAAACTGAGCTCAGTAACAACATTAAACACAATTTCCTCCCCGCAGCATCATCATCATCATCATCAAACTATCCCTGCTCGTCCTGAGTGCGCACTGTTGCCGCTTTTAGAGGCAGGAAACAGTACAGCCCGAGCACTATGCGTGTGACATCACACGCCCATACCACGAGCATAATGATAAAACACAGCTTACCACAGAGACCGCAACACATGGCACACCGTGGAACAAACACATCCACGCTGAAGAGTAAAAGTCAGCCTGGTGTACACGCTCCCTGCCAATTCAAGCTCTATTCCAACCCATCTGGACGGTCTTACTAATACACAATGAGAATTATATTTTGGCTTGTCAAGTCCCGGGCCATAAAACAAACTTTAATGGCATCACGTGTTTCCTCACAGCCACTCACAACACCGCGCAGGGCCATAAATAACCCTCAAAGTTGCACTTACTCAATAACGACGATTACACTGATGTGCACTGAGGAAAAGTCGCAGAAAGGAGGAAGGTGGGAGGTTGTAACTGCCATGATAGAAATGGGAACAGAGGTGCACTGGGACAAAATAGAAAATACTTTATATTTTTTTATTGGCACTGCAGATATGTGCAGGCCTGTACATTACTGATGCAATGCTTGAGCAAACAACAAATCCCAGATCCAAAGATAACTGGATCTCTGACTATTACTACTAATAATACAACCTGTTATCCACTTATTCAATTAAAAATATATATTTCTTTACCTCTTCATTGGACAAACCCGATTATATCACCTTATATATCATTTTACTGAACGACCCTGATCCTAAGTGTTCACAAAAACACCAAACATGCACCACTGATTTCTGCTCAAATACATTTTCTCCCCAGTGAACCTGACACAATAAGACTGATGTCATTCATTCTTCCGGGCCAATCCCAGAGTGCACAGCAGCTTCGCTCCTCCTCTCCCTTTTTCCTGTGCAAACTGCAGAGGGGCTGGTGATGTTGAGGTTTGGATGGCTGCCACTGTGGGGCAGGTATGATAGATGGAGGAGCATCAAATCAGGTGCTTGTCACTTTTTACATGCATGTCCTCATAAAAAGTTATTTCCCTGGAGATAATTTGAGGCTGGAACCTCTGTGTGACCTCCTGGGTGATTTAGCTGCACTTGCATAGTCCCTGCTGTAAGTTGGTGCAGTGTTCGCTGTGGTTTTATGGGTTGCATGCATTTAGATGAAGTCATTTATTTTCAGCTCAATCAGCTTTCATTCATAGTCATCATGGGGAGGATGCCATGTGCAGTCTCAACTCAAGAATCTGTGTGAAAGTGATGAAATAGTTACCATCAGTGAAGCTAATTTATCAAAAATCTTTACCTAAATAATTCTTAGGTGACAAAACATCTGTTCTGTCTTTATAAGATCAATTAATGACACATTAATTTTGCTTTTCTGCATTTTAAATGCTGTTGAACACATAAAAATTCAGCACACCTCCAAATGCAGCATCTCGTCTCATCTGTCACCAAACTGATTTATTCCCCAGCATTACCCTGAAGATAGTGCATTTTCTTACACAATACTCCAAAACCACTTTCAAAAATGGACCAGATCACGTGACCACGCATCTCAGCCAATCACTGCGCACGGGAACCTGCTCGCAAAAGCCTGCTGAATGGGAGCAGAGAGGCAGAGCGTTGGGCAACAGCGCCTTCTGCTGGCATTTTAACGACCTCCCTCCTTTCCCACTGCAAAAAATGTCCATCTGTATAACAAGTAATTTCACCTTATCACATGTCTGGTGGGAATATTGACACAGATGTGCAAGAAGCAGGAATAAATTGCACTTTTAAATGCAAATTAGTGTATTATAATATTCATTTAGTTAAGTGAAGGTCTCTTAAAGCAGGTGATGCAACTTGATTCAAAGCATTGGTTTAATTAAGTAATTCAAACAAATGAAACTGCAATTATCACAAGAAATGTCATCCAAGGCTTTTGCAAAATTATCTTTTTGGATTTTTGGGATTAATTGAGATATATAGACTGAATATGAAACTGTGTGCCAAGCGAATATAGGCATGTATTGCAGTGTAGATGTTATAACTTACCATTAAGCAGATAAAGCGAAATAAATGCGTTGCACATGATGATGGTGATAATGATATGGGGGGAAAATCACTGAATAAATAATTTTGTCTTAGTGGAAAACGAAAAAATGAAATAAATGATATAAATAACAGCTTTTATACATTTTGGATTTCATATAACTTGATAGAAATAAGCATTTGTTCACAAAACATATCACTGTCACACACCAATCCGAAAAAAATCCGTTATCAGACTAGACTAGATCTCTGAGGGGATTTAAATAAGGGTGAAAAAGTGAGACCACATCCATTCATGGAAAGTGCTATGTGTTCAAATGTGTGCAGGGGCCTGTGGTGAGACATTGTCCTACATAATCACACACAGCAAACACAGAAATGCTTTAAGCTGTGTCCACAAGTCGAATTAGGAAAACACAGAGTGAAGCCTGTCTCATGTTCTCAGGCTTCTACTTGTGCCTGTCTTCCAGGGTCCATTTTGCCGCATTGCAGTGAGGCTGTAAATACTTTCGCAGCTGCCTGTCAGGCAACAGTGAAATACTGTCTTTGTTCAGTTGGCCCCATCTCCAGGCAGCTGAAGAC